GTTACATAACTCCCTTTCATCATCCTCAAATTTAACTTAGAAAAAAAATTGCAGCTGCTACTTGTGATTTGCCATAAACAGTGAGAGAATTAGTTCAGTGAAGGATTCCTGCAAAAATGCCAGAAATCAGGTTAGTTTACACCTGTGGAACACTCACAAAGGGTGGTACTGGTGAAAGTACTTCTTAAATATATTACATGCTATGGAAACCCCACTGAGGTCACCAAATTGATAGCATATAACATGCAACTGCTTCAGGACGGTTGATATTTTGCTCGTTACAGTAAATGGGGTGGGGAAGCCAAATCTTTAAATTTCTGATGTGTATTTATCTGCTCATTTACAAGATGGATAGTATCTTTACTTGAATTGATATTTTTATTTTATTTATATCCCACCTATCAGGACCACTCATTTACAAGATGGATAGTATTTTTGCTTGAATTGTGAATGAGTAACACTGCAAAGGTGAGACAGTTTTCACAATCTGACAGGTGACCTACCTGCCTGTGCTGTTCATTTAGGAGAGTCTGCTACCTGTCCAAGCTTATCTTTCCTTAGATTGAGAACCAAATCATTTGTTTTAAAAGACAAGTTATCTTTAGAAATGTATGTTTGGTAAACAAGGACAAAATAAGACAATCTATCCTGAATCATTAATTCAGAACATATATTTTTAAAATTCAGTGTTAGCTCTAAGTAGCCATTTAAATGTGAGTGTTAAAACCCTGCTCTGAACTTCACAGTATTCATGTAGAAACAACTGTTGGGCTGTTGTCATATGCTAGTTGTGTTCCAGTATGACTGCATGGTTCACATGTTAATTTGTAATCAGTGTTGCCAGATACAAACTGAACTTTAAAGATAAAGTTAGATAGATACCACTGGTTATAGTAAATTTTGTGAAATAAGTTTAAAATGCTCCATAATAGTTAATTGTCAGTTCATAATTCAAATGAGAAGCACACTCAAGTTTAATTTAGCCTCATCTCTAGGAAATTTGATGCCAACATGACTTTTATATTAATAAAGATACATTTTGGTAAAACTAACAGTTGTTTGGAAGCACTCATATACAGCAGCTACTCATGTGGCTGGTTAAAGTCAGTATTATGTAGTTGGATAAAAAGGGAAAAGGCCCTTACTAGTTTTGGTAAACTCAAATGGCAAGGTTTCATTTTTACTACCAACAATTTACATATGAAGAAAGAGAGGTAGGTTCAAGTAGTAAATTTGCTGTCCTTTTGGTGTGGCATGCTTTGCAGAAAAAAACAACCTCCAGGAGCTCACATGTGAGGCTCCTTGATGGATGCAAAACATGGAGAGAGAATGAGAAACAAAGCATGCTGCTTATATACCACCCCATAGTGCTTCAAGCACTCTCTGGGCGGTTTACAAGTTAATTATGCAGGCTATACATTGCCCACCCCCCAGCAAGCTGGGACCTCATTTTACCGCCCTCGGAAGGATAGAAGGCTGAGTCAACTTTGAGCCAGCTACCTGGGATTGAAACCCAGGTCGTGAGCACAGTTTTGGCTGCAGTACAGCGGTTTAACCACTGTGCCACAAGAAGAAGCCTTTCATACCATAAACAGTCCCCATTCGCTATCGGGTGTAGAGAGGGACACTTATTTATTTATTCATTCATTCATTCATTCATTGAACTTATATTGCCACGTCAACACAAGCTGTTGACGTGGCACAACAGCTGCCATATGTTCCCTTCCCCCACCCCCTGCCTGGCTCCCCACTCACCAGCTTGCATGCACTGCTTGTCTCCTGCTCTTCATGCGACAAGCAGGAGCATGGATTTCCCTTCTCTGCCTCCTCCAGCAGCTGCCCACTCAAAGGCAATGCTGCAGGAATCCCTGCCCCACCTCCTTGTCTGAATAGGCAGCTGCTAGAGAAGGTGGAGAAGATAAGTCCATGCTTTTACTTTTACTTGTGACTGGAGGATCATGCAAAGAGCAGGAAATGTTCCAAGCATAAGCCCACAGCTGTAAAAACAGAGCAACATGAATGATAACTGCCTGTGGAAATAGGCCGGAATTTGTTAGCACTAGCATTCTCAACTGTGTAAGTTTTGTGCAAATCCAGAATTTTAGTATTTTGTTACATTTGTTGTGTAGTTATAACAAGAAGACCTTCCAGTTAGGTCTGCCGGTCCTATAAGATCATCGCAGGCAGGGTGGCTAAGAGTTCTGACGCTTAGAGGGGCCTGGAAAACAACTGCTAGAAATCGGGCCTTCCCGGTGGTAGCACCACAACTATGGAACTCTCTTCTCCCCGATGTCCACCTGGCCCCATTACTGGGCACATTCAAGAACCTGGCTATTTAAACAGGCCTTCCTTGAACAAACAACACCCTGACAATAGTGCCCGATAATATAACATCTATCATACTGCTATGCTCCATGTTTTTGTATCTTTCTCTGTTTTTAATTCTATTGTAATGTTATCCTCACCGCCATTTATGATTTTTGATTTGTGCCCTTAATGTATTGATGTTATTTGTTTTACTTTGTTGTTGACTGGTTTTTATTTTTATGACTTTCACTACATGTTACTTTTGCTATTGTTGTCTGATTTCACCATTTCTTAACCTCCCAGTATAGTGCCTCACACTATCCTGAAATAAATAAATAAATAAATAAATAAATAAATAAATGAAATCACCTAGCTAATCAACTTTCATTTGGTGTGCGATTGGGTTACAGTTACAGAACAAAACTAGAACTTTTACTTTTAGTTAGTACACTATGTAACTGTGTGATTTTCCTTGGTCATGAAAAGTCAGTTTGAGGTAAAGGAGCTGGCCAGAAGAAAATGCACAAAACTTTTTTGAGTCTTTTGCTTCTCTAGGGCTCCCTCTAGTGGGCTAATATACTGAGGCTCTTACTTCTTTCCTTCATTTTCCCACTCACCCACTGTTGGTGAGTAAGGCCAGGAATGGATAATAAAACAAGTCAGTGGGGTTTGTGCACTTGTAAGCAAAAATAAATGATTTTTCTGTTCTTCAGTAGCCATATTGTAGCATTCATTTTTTAAAATGCTTTGCTTACTAAAGTCCTCTGCAGATAGCTTCTGCAGTTCTTTATCATGCCAAGGACAAGCTGTTTTTAAAAAATAAAAGATGGAACATGTGCTGTCCCTCTAGTCCACTCGAAGCTGGTAATAGTGGCCAAGATCCTGTTGCTTAGCATTGTAAATCACATTAGAATAGGCCCATTGAATCAGTGGAGATCTGGTGAGTCATCTCCTTCATAAGTTCCATTGATTTAACTGGACCTCCTCTAATTACAGATTACTATAGCATCGTAGCAAATGTATAGCAACTCTCCATTGAGTCTGTGGGCCAATTCTAATGGTATTTATTATACTGGGCAACAGAAAGGGAGCCAATACAGTGGTGCCTCGCATAACGATGTTAATTGGTTCCATTAAAAACACTGTTATGTGAAAACATCGTTAAGCGAAACACCATTTCCCATAGGAATGCATTGAAAACCGGTTAATCCGTTCCAATAGGAGCCTATTCAATACATTTCAATGGTGAAAAAAAATCACCAAAAATTCAAAAAGACTCAGAACGAAGCCAAATTACTTTAACAAAGGTTTTATTAGGTGCACTAACGATTCCAAGCATTTTAAACATTTTTAAACATTTTAGAATATTTTTAAAATAGCGAAAACAGGGCTGTCAAAAAAAAGTTAAGTGAAACAGGGGACCTAAAACTGTCATCGTTAAGTGAAGCAAGGTCCCAAACATCGTTATGCGAAAATCCCCCATAGGAAACATCGTTAGGTGAGGCGGCAAAATTTCCAGCAAAGGCCATCATTATGCGAATTCATTGTTGAGCGAGGCACTCGTTAAGCGAGGCACCACTTTAACCTTCACCACATTGTTTGCATTCCTTATTGGATGTTCAGAATAATGAGCTTTATAGTATCATTCTCTGTGTCCTACATAGAGATGGGTATGAACTCCAGATTTTGTGTGGTTGATTTCCTGGGTGAATAACTGTTCCATGGTTTGATGCTCTGCCCCCACCAACAGGTACCCCCTCAGCAGAAACACTATGCCTCCTCCAGACACTGCCCTCAAGTGGGCACCACTGGAGGGGACGAGTGCCCAACTACAGATCAGCTATTTGGCTGGGAAACAAACCACTGAAACAGAGGTTTGTGCCCATCTCTAGTCCTAAAAGAAATGGTATCTATAGTAGTGCGAACAGGTTTTCAAGCCCTCCATCTTTTCACTTGGCATGAAAAGGCTAAAAGTAAACATGACTTCGTTCAAAACTATTCTTGATTATTGTCATGCTATCTCTTTATTGGATGTTTCTGTCTTAGTCTTAATTTGACAAATGCTTGTGAGAGTAAAATTTGAAGTTAGGCAGTGGAAAAGAGCTTTCACAATAGAAGGGAAATATGGTCTCATTCACATTGCTGTTTTGTTGTTTCCAGGGATCAAAGTTGCCCCAACCATGCTGCCTCAACTGTTCAGAAGTATAGTTTAGCATGGTAGACCAGTCAGTGAGTTCATTAATTGTGAAGTACTGTTGTATAACATAAACACAAATGCATAATTTGCACTAAATTTTGCAAACAGGAGAGCCTCTGAAGATTAATGTGGCATGACCATGTTCTTTTCATGAATAGTATGTGTTCTTCTATAAGGATTTTTTTAAAAAAATCATTAAGAAAAAGAGGGTGGAAATGTATCATGTAGAGCTTTTTACCCATCTCAATGACATATTGGGCAAAAAAAGTTGTTCAGAGAGTATTGAACAGAATATGTGCCTTTACTGCAGCTATGTTTCTTGAGAACATCTGGATGCCTATGAATTTCAACAATACATTTTAATGGAGAAAAAAAGTTATAAAGATGTGAAGGGGAGGTTGTAATAATTAGTGGCCTTGATAGTCAGATGGGCAATACAGAAATTGAATGAATAATGAACAAGATGATTAACACATCATTGTATTGTATCTTCTAGGCAATGCAGTTAATGAAGAAAGAAATGACTGTGCAGATAAAACTTCATTGTGTAACACTGGACCTAAGTATGAACAGACTTCCCAGGTCAGAAAGTTCTCCTTGAAGCCTTTCCTGAAAAATATTAGTGTTTTTTTTTTAATGAGCTGTCACTTTTATGTTAGATTGGGTCTCAGAAATTTCATTACAGTATTTTGGATAGCTCCGTGGTTTAGGTGTTTAGCTACAGAGTCAGCGATTGGGAGTTTGATTTCCCACTGTGCCTCCTGTGAGTAGAACCAGCCTGTGTGGCCTTGGGCAAGCTGTACTGTCCCAGGGCACCCGCAGAAGAAGGGATGATGAACCACTTCTGAGCACTCTCTACCTGGAAAATGTTGAAAAGGATTGCCATAAGTCAGAATTAACTTGGCATCATTTTTTTAAAAAGAGAGAGACTTTTAGAATGAAGAGGCAGCTAGCACTCTTACTTGGTATGGTCCTTTAAAAAAAGAGAGACTTTTAAGACAGATAAGAATAACTTGGAATCACAGCCTTGTCAGGCCAAAGTATAAAAAGCCTTCTGAAAGAAGTCAAATATGTAAACTTATTTTAAGTAGTGAAAATAAACTTGTAATGTAATAAATGCTAGAACTGTTCATTGAATTCCATTGAATTATTACATAACAGAAAATGACAGTTTCTTGCTTTGAACTCTCTAAAGCTAACTTTTATATAAGAAAGAGGAAAGACTTAGAAGTATTCTAATACCTTAGGTAAGATTATTGTTGAGACACTCTCAGTAACCAAAAGCATAAAGTTATTTTTCTGGATAGTGGAGTACAGCATCACACTATTTAAGGTTTTTCCTGCTTTCTGTCTGTTGGCAATATACCTTTATAGGCATAATATATCTGTAGACATTTAATTATAATGGATTTGATTGATTGTAATGGATTTGGTTCATTATTAAAGGGTACATGTTTCAGTTTCTTCGTGCTAATTTATATATTTCAGAAGAAGTCTCGTATACTTTATGAATGCTTGCTCTTTCAGTTTATTTTAGTAGTTTTGCTTACCAAAGACACAAACTGCCATTCAGTTTAAAATTGACTTGCCTCTGTTAATAATAATTGCAGTGAAAATGTCAAACTAAGTTGTGGCTGCACATCATTTCTAATGCCAGTGCAATTGGGACTTCTTTTCTCATTGTTTCATGCTGCATCTCTCCATGGTGTTAAAAACCTGCTCCAGAGGACTTCACAGACCTTTGGGTTCACGGGTGTGAGTCTTCAGGACACAAGCGGGAAGAAACAGCAGGATCATGTGCAAATACACAGTTGAATTGTGGCTTGTGTTTGTAAATATGAACTATATTGGATTGTAATTTCTCTTGTCTTTTTGGGTGGTTGATAATTACACACTAATTTATAATCAGTTCAAAACACATGAGTACAGAAATGAAGACACTGGTTTCAGTCATTTATAAAGCAAAACATAAATGAAACATTGCCACAACTCTGACTCAAAGTATAGTACTTCTTTTCTAGGTTCCACTACTTTGTGAGGGTAGGTGAATTATTATATACAGTGCTTTTATTGTGTGTGGTGTTCTGCTTTTAGGATGCTCTCTCAAGGGTTTCTTGTTTGGTTTAAAAGCAAGTCTCTTTCAAGTAGGGCATACCAAGAATGCCTGAGTTACTGTTTTTTGCCATTCAAAAACAGCCAAAAATGTTTGATATTTTCTATTTGAAAACTTTAGAATAGTATCATGATGTGTATAATATTGCAATAAAGAAATATTGTGTAATATAGCAAACTGTGTTTTCTATCACACTTCAAAAGGTTTTCCAAAAAATGTTTTTCTGGCACAAATTTCATCAAGCAATAAAAACAAAAACATTTATGTAGTAGACAACTGGGAAGAAAGTGATAAAGATATGTTTTATGTGTTTTTTTTAAAAAAAGATGGGATTTAAACAGCAAACCAGAGATAATGATCTCAATACTATAGTATTTTCAGCTAGCTGGTAAGAAATTGTACAACTCTTAAAATTAAAGTAAGAGAAAGGTTCAGAAAAGCTAATAATTTCCGAAGGGCATCTAAAATACCTGAAGAAATGCCAAAACTATCACAGTGTTAGGGTGTCACGCAAATCAAACCAGGAAAATTAAAAGGCATTGGTAGTTCACTGTTGATCAGGATGAAAATTAAAAACTCATTGGCATTAAAAGCAGGAAGAATGACTCTGCATACAGAAAATATGCTGCCAAGAAAAATAAAAAAGTTACAGTCACCCAGTGAATTATACGAAATCAGAAATAGCACAGATTATGAACAAGTGCAAAGCTTCAAGAATTACCTAAATCTGGACTTCCGCTGCCCATACTTCCGTTACTTTATTCCCCTTTTTCTTTACATAGTTTCGAGGATTAGTAGCTACTCCACCTCTTTAATTTTTCTTTGAGTTTATGCAAAAACAAAGTGAAAATCAGTAATGGCCTCATCCCTGTAGATCACCTTTAGACTTGGGGGTATTCGTATATAGGTGGACATAACGAGGGCCTGGCCCCCTGAGGCTGAACTGTCCACTCACCTTTCACTCTGCTGCGGGCTCCATACTCCCTCCCTATCCCTCCAGAGCACCTGGTCAGGGAGCCATTCTTCAACCTGGCAGTGAGGCTCGTCATCCCACCTCCTGCCAGGAGTAGCTGGTCGACCGTGAGCTCCGGAGCGATAGGAAGGGAGCGCTGACGTCACAGCAGCAGCAGAAAGTGAGTGGACAGGCCAGACCCTCGTTATGTCCACCTGTGCGGGGGTATCTCTAATCACTTCCAGGATGATACTTGCTTGTGGTACTGATGTTCTTCAAATTATGCCTGTGAAGGAAAATACAAGGCATTAATATATCTCACTCTGAAAGATTTAGAATCACTAAATGTTGGTTCCAATTTGTGACACATAACAATAATTTGAAACCTGACACTTTATTCATAAGGTAGAATTGTGAAATTTTGATTTTTTTTTTCATTCTTTCAGTTTATAGAAACCAAACAAGCTTCCATGGGTTAGTTTATTGTACATAAACAAGTTGCACAACACACCTGAATTTAGTTCATTTTTGCTGAACCAGGCTTATGATTTTATTTTTTAGTATAGGGTATGCACAGATCTAACCTCCTCCCCATATATGTTACCATGGAAACTTGTCTGTAACATTTTCAACTATTATTGGCATGGTTACTAGTCATAAAGTAATAAAAGGTATCAACATGACACAGTTGATCGACCCAAGATAAAAGACTTTTGCTGATGTTTAAATTATGTTTCCATGCCTGTGAATGTAAAAGAACAAACTATAAAGCTGATCAGCGATGAATATGTATGTTGTAAGCTGTGTTTTGAAAGACAGGTAAAATGTGCATGTGGTTATGAATAAACAAAGTATAACACTACTAAGTCATATTTTATGTATTTGCATGTCAAGTTCCTTGCAAGACATTGCACAAGAATATGCACCCAAAACACTTTGTCCCTAGCAAATATATCAATATTTGCTTAATGTGCAGGAACCTGCCCTTTATAATCATGTTGTATTAAATATCTCATGTATATCTTGAAATGGTCTGGGTTATGTATACAGTGGTGCCTCGCATAATGATTTTAATTGGTTCAAAAAAAATGTTATGTGAAACATCGTTATGCAAAACGCCATTTTCCTTAGGAATGCATTGGAAACCAGTTAATCCGTTCCAATAGGCACGGATTGCCGTCCTTAAGCGAAAAAACCCATAGGAAACATCGTTAAACGATACAATGTTTCCTCCATTGGAATGTATTGAAGCCGACTCAATACATTTCAATGGCTTTGCGAAGTCAATTTTTGCAAAATTAAGTGTGTCATAAAAGGGTCAAAAATGGTTTTAAATGCTTGGATTAGCTTCTGCACCCTCTAAAACGGATGCAAAAGTTAATTTGGCTTTGATCTGACTTTTCGTTAATTAATGGTGAATTTTTTCCCCCCAACTTTTGACAGCTGTCAAAATCTGACAGCTCCATTATTTCCTATGGGGGAAGAAAAAATTCACAAAAAATTAATGAAGACTCAGCAACTGTTCTAAATTCTTGGGTTCGTTAGAGGACCCCCTAAGTTGTGTGCAAACCTGATTTGGCTTTGATCTGAACTTTCGTTAATTTTTTGTAAATTGTTTCCTCCCCCAAGGGAAAGCATGGAGCTGTCAGATTTTGACAGGTCCATTGGTTCCTATGGGCCAAAAAACAAAAATTTTGCACATGACTTAGGGGGTCCTCTAACGAATTCAAGCATTTAGAACCGTTTTTGACCCTTCTAAGACACTTTTTAAATTGAAAAAAGAAACATCGTTAAGTGAAGCAGGGGACCTAAAATCGCATTCGTTATGCGAAGCATGGTCCCAAACTTCGCTAAGCGAAAATCGCCCATAGGAAACATCGTTATATGGTGCATATTATTTTCTTTTAAAAAAATCGTTATGCGAATTCATCGCTAAATGAGGCACTCGTTAAGCGAGGCACCACTGTATATATATCTATGTGTGTGTGTGTGTCCCTTTTATGCACAGAGCTTTCAAATTCTGCTTTGGATTTCATCTATGTCCAACTGCTTATAGGAAGGACTGTTAATTATGAACACTGAAACCTTAATCATCATAATTCTCCTGGGTTTAAATGCACTTGTGTTTGGTGGTATTGCTCATCTAAAATGGGTGATAATAGACGAGGCCTTCCAGGTTGCGGTATACACTTGTGAAGGAGCAGTAGATCAAAAGGAGAAAGAACAGAGTGAGCCGTCCCCTCAACTAGAGAGACGTCAGAGCAGGAGAAAGTTATAGAAGTAGGGGAGATGAAAGAAAGTAAGAAGTTGAAAATAGTGGGAGGAAAGAAAGGGAAATTAAAGAAGAAAGAGAAGATTGAAATATGTCTTGTGGAAGAGAAAGAGGGAGAAGAGAGAAAGGAAGTAATTTTACCAGTGTGGGAGGAGGTGATAGGGGGGAAAAGTGGGAGGAGACAGTTCCATATAAGAGGGAAAGAGAAGGGAAGGGCGGAAGAAAAATATGATAGGACATGCGGG